AACAAAAAAGAAATTGCCAAACCCTGAAATTGAGCTGTAAATGTTCTCTTGCCGTGGGACTCTTGATTTTTATTCTTGAGTGAAGTGAACACGTGCAAGGGTCTCTGACATTTGTGCCCTCACACCTTATGCCCTAGAAAGGAGGGGGAAAAGGCCAAAAAACAAAACACTCTTTGCGTGAATCTTTATGATGATTCGAAATACTTCGGGTAGATCCTGTCATATGCTTTATATGTTCCTGACTGATTGTGTGGAATTAAGTTATTGGTCAGAGAACCAGCTAATGGGAACACATTGATGAAATGATTTTTGAGAGACATTAAATGAAACTTAAAATAAAGCTGAAATGGCTTTATGGATTTTTCAGTCAAACTGTTTATGAACATTTATCGGTGGTAAATTACACAGTGTCAGAAGAGGGAATCAGTAGGTATGGCTTTAATAGAAGTCGCTCTGATATAACACTGTGAGAAAGAATAATTTATTGCTTAGGGATGTACAGTACAGTATATTTAAATACTAATGATATTATTGTTTTCTTCTGTCTTTGGCTGTTTGCAGATAAGTTACCCGTAGCAACAGCAGAGAGTCTCATATGATAAGAAAATATTTTGAGTATTTGCAATGAAATAGAAATTTTCTGTTAGGCATTTTTCATGGTAGATAGAAAATGTTTTAATAACAGATAATTCAGGAAGCAGAAGCTGTGTTGTACAATAATAAATGCAATTTACATTTGCTTTGTACTCAGTAAAAGTGAAAGAAGGATGTAGTACTTTGATTGAAAAGGGAGATTGTAGCAGCTGATTCTTGAACTGTTGGACCTGTGCATTAATACTGTTTGCCAAAACCCATCATTCCTCAGGTGGATGAGTGAAAGGACAGTGAAAATAAAACTACAGGAGTGCAAGACTAGGAGGCAGTTGCTGGTCCTGCAAATATTATCCCTTAGTTTTGAGACACCACGTCTTAAGTCAGGAATTTGTCAAATCTGTTGGATTGTCTGTCCCATCTAACTGAAAAGCTGCTGCTATTTTGCTTCTCTTTTTGCTATAAAACACTTTTCTTCCAAAATGTATTTGGGACCAGTTTATTGCCACTTGCTCTCATATCAACATTGGCCTAGAGCCAGTAGTTCTTTTTCCTTCATGTTATTTATCTTCCTAATGTATTAATACACAGCATGAGTATCCTTCCCTAGCCATCATGCTGCTAAGCTAAAAAGGCAAGTCCTTCCAGGCTTCTTTTGTAGGATAGACTTTTCCTGTTAGTGCAGTCATAACAGTATTTCCTCTCTGTACACTCTCCTCCTGGAAGGCCACAAGGACCCCCAGTTCAAGGACTCACTGATGATTCTGAAAATAATGTGATTTTCTTGTCCTGTTCGCATTAGACTTTCCTCACACCTTTCAATTTAATGCCACATTTTCCTTCCCTTTGGCTCTGTCCCACTGTCATGAATCATGAGTAGCATTTAGCTTTCATCCAGGCATATTCCCATCCTGGAAGCATGTAGAAGAAATTTTTACTACTTCTAAGCACATAACCTTGGACTTCATATTTTCAGTCATTTGTTTCTCCGTGACATTTCTGTTCTCCTCAGCAGAGACAGAATAGCCCAATTCAGTGTCAACAGCATATTTCCCTCAAACTTTCCTTCTTTTTTCTGCCAAAGCCTTTAGTAACAGTTGGACTCAATGATCTTAAAGGTCTTTTCCGACATAAATGACTCTATGATTCTAAAAACCGCTGAACAAGGTCACTTCCTCCAGCCTTCTCTTTCGACTCCATCCAGCAGTGATGTTATCACAGCCTGGCTGGGACTTCCACAGCGGCCTAAAGCCAGACTTTGACACAAATGTCCAGTGGAATTGAATTAGTCCAAGGCAGTTGTTTCCCTCGGGAGCTGCCAATCCCCTGGGCAGAGACCAAGACACTCCAGCGGGGAAGAATGGGGGAGGCTGGTGGGAGGGGGCACTTTTGAAGTCTATAATATAAATTTCCAGTAGCAGAAAAAGAAGAGGATGATTCTTTACTGAAATCATCAGGCAGCAGGTTGAAACCAAAGAGCTTCTCTGGAGGATTTAATTCATCTATCAGCCCCCTGCTACGGAAATGGGGATGCTTAAAATGAGAATTAGGGGGGGTGAGGAGAGTTTATCAGTGTCTCTGATGTGGGTGGATGACACAGCCAACTCAAGGAGTCCCTCAGCTGCTGACAGCCAGAGTCAGGGGAGGGATGTCTCAGTCCTAGTCCCTCAGCATCCCCTCATGGCTGATGTCCTCCTCCATGACAGGGACAGGTGGCCCTTTGGGAGAGTCTGTGCTCTTAAAGGAGAATAATAAGAAATTATATTGTCAGGGCAGGAAGCCGTACCAAGGCAGGTTCACTTCGAATTCCGATCAAAGCAGAGAAACAGAAGAGTTTGGAACTCTCATTCCTTTTCCCAGTGCATAATGGACTCTTTCATGGATCTGGGAATAAAAGAGACAGGAAAAGGGGGTTTAAGAATTGTTTAGAGAAAGGAAAACAAGGAAGTGGGGGAAAGGAATAGCCAGTTCTTTTATTTTCAGCCTTGCTGAAATGACTGCATTGAAGTTCCACTAACGTTGTTCCAAAGTTGCTTTCTGCATTTTAACTAAATAATGAAAGCCTGGAAAACCCCAAGTTTAGAAATAAGCTTAAGGTTCTCCTTATTCAGCAGGCATTTCTGTTTATGTGCAGTTCATTATTTTGGGCTTTGCATGACTTAAGTAGCTGACTTAAGGTGTGTAAAAATGAATTAAAACTCCCATGGATAAAGTCACCATATAGGTGGAAAGGGTACAAGGATATCTATGTGCATCTCTCCAGCTGCACCTCCTCATCTCCCTTCCCTCAAAAATCACTGGATTTTTATGCAGAAAGGTGCAGGTTGCATCTTTTGCTACGTTTCATTGCAAAGCCAAGAGCCAAGGCGATCGTGTGGATAAGCAGAGACTTAAATCATTTGGAAACTGCTGAGTGAGGACAGATCTGATAGTAATAACCTTCATGGTGGCAAGTTACAGCTGTTTGTGACAAGTTGTAATGATGAAGGCTTATAGTAAAGTTAAGAGCTAAATATCTGTATTGTGCCACAGGATCAACTTCGATTTCCAAGTACAAAAATTCAAACTTTAATCATCTTTGAGTTTACTTTGTTTTTCTCTAGGTTGACAAGAGTTGGAGTTCTTTAATAAATGTTAGAGTGCTTGTTTTCATTCTATCTTTTTTTTTTCTTTAACCCAGTGAGACAGCTTATTTAATTTATTTCAGTGCAAAGAAAGTGTAGTCTTACTGAAGCCATAGGTGTTTCCCACTTACAGCAGAAGTTACAGCAGGATGTTTTCTTAACATGTTTTGCATAGTCTGAGAACATTTGTTGTTCTGTAGTGGTGACTTTCAGATTGCACATAGGTGACCATTCTAATAGCACATGTTACAAGAGGCCTCAAATTGTATACGTAGAAGTTATCATCAGGATCTGTAGTTTGCATAAATAGCTTTATCAAGTAAAAAAAAAAAAGAAAGAAATGCCACTGCTTCTGTCTGCATGCTGACACTGCTCTGATGACTGTAGGTAATGAATGACTGATTGTTCACAATGTATCTGAAGACAAGACCGCAGGTTTAAATTTAAGAAGACAGGTCATACTTGCTCACTAGACTGACACCTATATATTGGAGAACAAGAACATTAATTTCTGGCACACTCTGTGTGTAAAGCAGTACCATTCTTAGCTGTGTTTTAGCTGGAAGTTTCAGTGGGAGCGGGAACGTGATGTTCTGCAGCTCAGAGTGCTGGTGACAGCACTTGGGGACCCCTGTGTTCCAACAGAGTATTTTAAAAGAGGAACAGCTTCAGAAAAGAACAATGAGAATTCCAGAGAATTTGCTTCACAGTAATTGATTCAAAAAGCCCAGACTTTTCAGAGAACCAGAGCAGGTTGGGGTGGTTGGGTCACCAGCAGTGTCTGACTACAGAGGGTGGAGACTCTGCTCATATGGGGTCGATTGGTTGGCACACATAAGAAGATTCAGTGGTTGAAAGATGAAGTGAGACCAATTCAGATTAGATGCACATTTTAAATGAGAACAGTGAGTAGAAAGGCTTATGAGAGTATGGCAGGGCTGTCTTTGACTGGAGAAAATGATATAAGGAGAGCACATCTTTCTAGAGAAGACAGCTTGATCACAAAATACAGATCCAGTTTAGGGATGACTGGGTGAAATGGCCCAACTGGGCTGTGCAGGTGGCCTTGCAGAGGATTGCAGTGGCCTGAAACTTAGGCGAGCTGTTCACAGTACCCAGCAGTTTACAGCTCATGATCTGAAGCCAATCAGCACATGGGGGGAATGCTGTTTCCCCACCATCTCTGAGAGAAGAGGGAAATGAGCAGAAGTTAAATGACTTTTGGGTCACACATTAAATTGGTGGCCAGGCTGGGACTGGAGCAGAGTCTGCTTGTGCTGCACTACATCAGGTAGACACATCCTTCCTTTTCCCCAGGCAGGATCACAGCCTGACCCGAGAGGTGTCTGCTGTGATAGAGCCAAAATTTTCTTTTCTCCTTTGAGTATCTCTAAGAGCCCAGCAAAAGAAATAATGTTGTGACATGCATCCAGGTTCATTAATGAGGGATGTAGCTGGATTAGATGCCTGGTCACCAAAGAGTATTTTCCAAATATTTTCCAAGCTCCCTGAATCACTTGGGTCAGCAAACTCTTCCCACAGTTGGGGTGCAAGCAGCTGCTTCTCCAGCCAGAAATGCAGCTTACAGGCAAATCCTAGTTGTAATCAAGGCAACCAATTGCAGGTGATCAAAGTCTGGATTTTCTGGGGACAGAATGGATGTACAAGAGAGAAATGGGGTCAGGTAATGGGTTAAATTGCTCCTAGGTATGATTTGACAATCACTCCCCTGATAACAGCTTATAATGTTTACAATTTGTCTTCTGTTTTGTTTTGTGATTTCAGGAGCAGAAGGCACAGTGTTCCCTAAATCTATAGAAACTCCCAATGTCAGGGCAGACCCCTTCAAGGAACTAAGGTAAACTTTGGAATATGGTTTAATGGTAACTCAGTGGAGCCTTGTTGGAGTTGTGCATTTTGCTGGGCATCATTTCTGCTTTTGCATAAGCGCTCGGGGGTTCACTTTGAAAGGCATCATGAAGAGGATGCCATGGAAGAGAAGGGATCTTCCATATTTACATGTGGTATGACCCAGCTAAAGGCAATCACAGGTCATGAAAGCATCGTTTCTTCTCTGTAACGTGCTCTGTGTACCCTGGGCTCAGCATTTGGAAAGGAAAGAGAGTCATCTTTTCCTGGTTTTGCAGGGAGGTACTGGAGTCTGTGCTGGATCACAGGGAGTAGCAGCAAGCAAAAGGATAATGCTTTCTGGTATTATCTACCTTGCAGAAATGCAGACCCTCTCTGACCTACACAGGGTATAGCTGTGCATGTATGAAGCTGCTGACACTTGCAGAGATACCACTTGCTGACAGCAATGTGCCAGGAGGGAATAAACAGCACAGCCCTTGGGAACCAGCTCTGCCCTCAAACTAATGCTGGGCATTATTTTTATTTTATTAAAAAAAGAAAAAAGTGTGGCACTACAGGCTAGTTTGGATGAATAGATGGCTAGTCTCTGAAAAGAGACTAACCATATGGCCTAATAAATTATTGACTGAATCTCCTGATATTTCCTGACCAAGAGGGCTGTAGGGGTTTGCCTCAATACTCTAATTATCCTTCCTTAGAAAGAGAGAGAAACATGAAAAAAACTCTCCAGAAGGACATCTTGTCCTTAGATCTTGGGTTGCAAATTCTCCTTTGCTGGCAACTGCTGGGGATGAAGCAATCTCAGACAGCTGGAGTTGTGCACGAGTGCTGCAGATTTACTGTGGATGCACAGAGGTGGGAGAGCACCTCTCATGAACTCTCTCTGCTGTGATAGCAGGGATAGTTATGGCCCAGCTAGATCACTGTGGAAGACAAAGAATATCTAATCTGCCTTCCCTTGGGTCTATGTCTATCTTTCAGTTCCTCTCAGGAAACCCTCTAATTGTTCCCATTTTGTGCTCTGGGGCTCACATGTCTGACAGCAAGAGCAGGGGTGGCATGATCTGGTTTGTTATGAGAGTTTGTTCTCCTTCTCCATGCACTGACTTTAACCCTGCCTTGTGGTTGTCCCAGTTTTGGTATACTTCCTTTAAAGAGAGATCTTAAACGGGGTCTTTGCTCAGCCTGACCTGCAGCTGCCAGGGCATCTCTAGGGTTTGCTGTGGTGGAAGGAGCCCCATGAGTGCAGGGATCAGGAGGGCAGGGCACACCTACCCTCTGTTTCTCTGGGCAAAGCCAAGGAAACAAAGGCATCAGTGGGTGGGTGGATTTCTACGTGAAGTCCAGGTGACAAAGACTTTCTGGCACAGCCCATGTTTACTGACATTTTCAGGAAAAAAAAAAAAAAAAAAAAAAAAGAAAAAAAAAAGCAAGATCATGGCTAAAATATCCAGTAGCATCTCTGTAACTTACAGAACCAGGTCCTGTTTTGAGTAGCACAAAAGAGATGCAAAATTTAGGTCCAAGTTTGTGGTTACTTAGGACTTTTATAAAGATAGGTGGAGAAAATAATACAAATAAGTGTAGGATGTCATATTAGAGGGGACAAATGTGAATTAAAATGGCCTTAATCTTATTGAGTATGCTTCTGTTCCAAAGGAAATTAAGCTAAATGAAATTGAGATGAATTAGTGGCAGTATCCATGCGAGGGATTGATTCAGTGTATTTGATCTGCTTTAAAAAATGTTTTCAATTCACTATGTAGAGAGCTGTTGGGTAACTGACTTCATTTGAAATTAGTGGACTGGGTGAAAAAAAAGTCCTGTAAAAATCTGTTGGATTATCTTGATTTGTTGGGGTTTTTTAAGGAAAAATATTGAATAGCATTTATCTTGGGGAAAAAGTCCCTCTGGGTCCTAAAATATTTTGTGTGCTTCTGACAATTTTATCTTGGCAAATATAGATGTTTTTTCCACCACCCTGAGAAGGAAAAAGGCAGTGGTTGCACTGTGAAGGGAAAGCAAGGTTTCCCAAGAACAAAAGCTCTGTTCCTCCCCAAACCAAGAACTATCCATCTGTCTCAGCATATTGGATCACTGGCTGCTTCTTAGGCAAAATGGTGCCTTTTGGGGGCAGTGCAGAGTTAATAGCGAAAATAATCTTACTCTGAGGGGAGATTTTTTGGTTCCTTCCTATTTTGCTAGCAGAGCATGTGCATAAGGTGTCCTTTTTGCCTATTTATAAAGATGCTGCAGTGAAATGGGACTGGATGAGATGGCAGCCTATGGGTCCCGAGCTGCTGGGAAAGCAGCATTGAAAACACACACTCAGTAGCTGGCTTGACTCTAAAAGACCTTTTTCTGCAATAAATAGTGCAAACTTTCTTTCCTCCTTAGGCTGAAGTTCTCAGGTGGAAAGTGCACATTCAGCTGCTTCAGGCACCACCAGCCTCCATCTCTCTTCCTGGACCAAACAGTTACCATTAGATACGTGATTTATCCATTTGCTCTTTTCACCTCCATACAGATTCCTACTTTGTTGTTAGATCCAGAGTAAGGTGGCAGCCACTGTTGCTACAGGAAAGAGAAGCGACCAACTGCTCCTGTCACCACTGGGAGTCAGGACATCTGAATGTCTTCCTTCCCTTCTTCCTCTCTCCTTAACAGTCTGATTTCCCCAAGACAGGCATTTATGGTGTTGTGCCAGTCACCTCTGCTTCTTTCCCATCTCCCAAAGTCCTTCAGCTGTGCCCATGTGCCACGACCACTGACACAGCCCAAGTACAGCACTCTTGTTCTCAACAGACTTTGTCCTCATTTAGCTGATAAATGGTTTTCAGGTCATAATTCAGCTGTTAGTAAGTCAGTGGCTCTAGAGGGTGGTCACTGTCCTGGTGGGCCTCTTTTCTCAGTGTCCTTTAAAACACTTTTGTCTGCAATGGATTAGATGGAGACGATTCTGGTGGATAAATGTGTGTAGCCTTTTCCTTACGTTCTAAGCCCATTAAAAGGCTGCAAGAATTGGTTTGGTGCTTCATTGAGCCAGGTCTGGACTTTCCTGCTGAGTCTTCTCAGGAGGTTCTCTCTCGTGCTGCAGACAGACTAATGTGTCCAAAAACAATCCTGTTCAGTGTGCCCTGTGGTAGAAATGCCAGAGCTCATAAATGCCTTGTTTTGTGCAGGATGTAATTAACTTTCCTACCCATGCTCTAGAATATTCTTTATAGTGATCTAAAAACTACAGGTGGCTGAGAAATTATTTTATATACTTCTGCGAACATTTCCATGCTTTTGCTTATTTAAAGTAATTTTAGACGCCCAGATGTTTTGGCTGTTGTTCATTGGGTTCTAAACTGATCAAAAACAGTAAAAAGGAAGGCAAGCAATTTCAAATTATTTTCAAATACTTGGAATGTTTAACTTTGTCATCCTGTGTCATGCCAAAATAGTTTAAGGGGAGGGCTTGGGAGGTTCGTTTGGACATTGAAATATTTGCACTCATCTGCATTGACTCTTTTTAAAGCAGGTTGGTGCCTTCAACATATGTTAATGTGATTGCTTATGTATAAAAGTTGAATTCAATATGACCTTTTCTCACTGGATTATTTTAGTAGCACCCAAGTAACTTGTCAAGAGCCTGTCTTGAGAGCCTCTCCTTGACACTGGCAGGAATCACCTGCCTTTTTCTATTTATCTTCTTCCAAAGAAGGAAATATATGCCAACAGAAGTTGTCCATCAAACACAAGATCAGCACTCTTCCAAGGTGAGGGATAAAGGCTGGACAATGAATAAGGAAGAAGGGAAATAGTCTGAGGGGAGAGGATTAAAAGGAGGGGGGGAGTGCTGTGCGAGAGTATCCAGCCCCGTCCCCCAGCTCAGGGTGAGTGTTAAGCACCTTCCCAGTGTCCAGGTCATGCTGGGCAGGGGCACCCGCAGCGTGGAACTGCTTTAGAGTGTTTCTGTTTCCAGAGTTGAATAAAAAGAAATCAGACAGCATGAAATTCACTCCATGAGGGGCAAGCACACACCTGGAATTCATCCACAGATATGGTAGGTTAAAAATGCAGTAAATCGCTCATCCAAGGCCAGGAAACCAAGGGATGACTGTTTTTTTCAGTAATGCACAAATACATTTAAGGGAGAATTAATCCCTTGGGCTTAAAGGGGTAATTCTTGACCAAAGTTAATTATGAAGCACTGAAAGTACGAAATGGCAGATGAAATGTGCTTGCAGCTTGGTTTTATTAGAGCAATTCTACCTTACAATGTACAGAACTGAACTATCCAAATAGTCCAAGAGAGACCTATTAAAACAAGAAACAATTTAAATACAGTGCTTGGCTAATGTAACAATACTCATTTCGAAAAACAATAATTCTTGTCAGATTAGGGTTTCTCTCAGCTGTGTTTCACAAGGCAGCACAGATAAGTAGGAACACATATAATGTTTCTGTCTAAAACCCATTACATTAATAAAGATTAAGGGAAGAAAAATTAGAGGAAATGCGAAAAATGAATGGTATGAAAGAGGAAGTTATTGGTGAGAAATGAAAGTAATTTATGAAGACCATTGTGTGATACTGAAACACTGTTTAGTTCACAACAAACACTTGTGGATTCCTGTGAGGTGTCAGCAAGGGGCAAATAGCCAATGTACCTCTGTATTTAGCCGGTGTTATTTTCTGATTGATTTGCCACAAAGGATGCAATTTCTTTTCTTTGTTATACCAGTGCAATCACAGTAGTTTTGGTAGTCCTTGCCATCTTAAAAGACAACAGACTTTCTTTCTTGGGATGAGCTTTACCTTCCACACTGTAGCATATGATGCAGATCATATGATACAGATGAGTTGCATTTATACAACTATCTTTATTAAAGTCAACACATGTCTATTTATATACAACTAAAATGAGAGACCAGGCTCCTGGTTTTTAAACTTCAAGCTAATTTAAGTGACCTTATGAGTGATAAGTTTCTTTGGAAT